TAGAAGAGAGGAATTGAGAGCGTTGGATGTTGTGTGTGAGCGGGAGATTATGGGAACACGTGGAAATATAGAGAAAACGTGGGGAGGCGGGACAGAAAGGGGTGGCGCGTGAGTGGTGTTACGAGGGATGACCAGATAAGGTAGGAAGGAAGAGAGTATCAGACAGCTCATCTGATCAGTTTCTAACACCAGGGCTTTTATCGGTTTCTTTTTATCTGTTTGCGCAAAACAACATTACATTTATTTAAAATGATAAATTCTACCATTGCTATTTTACTATTGTCCTCTTTCATTTTAGATATCAATTTTTAATTTGATCAATCAGGTCATTTAATTATTTAAATGTTTTAATCAAACTTCATGTTAATATTTAATAGAAAAATTAATGTGATTGTTGGAAAAAATATAATTATATATTTAACCTTCAATATTTATACTTTTTATTAAACTATGCATAATTTTAATTTAAATAAATAAATTTAATCTTCAATTAGATGATAATAAATTCATTGCATCATTAGAATGTACCTTTAATTTTAATTAATTTAATTAAATTAAAATTGATTGATTAATTATAAAAAATTATATTTTTTAAAACTTATCATTTAGATATAATAAGCTTAAATAAAAAAAATATTATTTAGACAACTCGTCTTGTAGACGTGATGAATTTCTCATGTTCTGTAATATTTGTCGCATATCTAAAATTAATTTTGGGATGGTCTAATGGACAATCTTTTTTATCAGCCTAGCCTATTCGACTAAATTTGCCTTTAGTACTGTATGGCTGCATAAAATGGGTTTAAGGCCCTTCCAAAACTAATGAACCGGTCCTGGTTAAGTAGCTAACCCATTAAAACATTTTCATCTACGATCAGAGCTTTATCATAATAAATAACCACAACTAACACTACCTAACAAAACAATTACAAGAACCAGGCGTCGTTTTCACCTAATTTATCCCTCATCCTATGTCTACTACCTAAATTCCACTTATGTTAGAGTTTTACTCATTTGCAGTTGTCGTATTAACAGATTCGTTATTTCTCAACGTAATCGATTTTTTAGCAAAGTTATCGTTATGTTATAACATATATTTATTAAAAGTTTTTATTTTATTTTATTTTTGCTAGGTAAAAAGAGAACCATGCGAATAACATCAACTTTATATTTATACATGTGGGAATAAATATATTCACTATAATAAATGCTTTAACGCCTCCAATTTTAATGACCATAGTGTTAGAGGTTGATTTGTGTCATATTTTCTCACTCTAGGTTTTGTTTGGAAAAAAAGTTACGAAAACTAATGGTAAAATTGTTATATTAAACCTATTACAATAATGAGTAAAGATATTTAATACTAAAAATTGGGATAAAAGTGATAGTGAGATGAAGGACATTTGATTGTGAAATTCAGTTTGAGATGGCAATGACCGAGGGGGTAAAAGAGAGGACAAAAGAATATAAGGGATGTTTAGATTAGGGAATGTGGATTGGAATATGAGATTCTCGTGGGAATAAAATTCACATTCCAATATTTGATTGGTCGGGAATCTCATTTTCGGTAATGTTTTATTACAAATAGTAGATTTTTTGGAGGTATATTACCGGGAATGTCATTACCTCCCTTTCCTTATGTATTGTTGGATTACTGGAGTTTTGGACTAAAATGCCCTTAATTTTTTTCAAAAATATCATTCTCCTGTCATTAAATAATAAAAATTCTACGAATGTTAAATTACAAATTTATCCTTAAAATATTTTAGATTTACAAAAAAAATTATAATTAAAATTTAATATAAATTTCAGGGGTTAAAATAAAATTTTACCCTTTCACTAAACCTTTTTATATTTTCAATTTTGTAAAAAACATATATATAAATTTTATGAATTTAAATCTTTTAAAGAAAATATATAAATATTTTTCAACTTGTTAAAAAATAAATATATAAAAGGATAATTTGGTCAAATATATATTTTAATAATTTTTAATTTCTTTAACTAAACACGATAATCTTGCATTCCTATTAAACCAACCAAACACAAAATACAACCATTAATCATATTCCCTAGTAATCTTAAATTTTCATTTATAATCTTACCTTCTATGAATCAAACGCACCCTAATAGTAAAATATGAGGTGAAGCCCCTTGTTTTGTCTGTTGTTCGCTATCAATTCATGTCTCTTATGGCCACGCCCTTTTCCTTTCCGGGGCTGCCTGCCCATGCATGCATTGTATCGTACAAGCTACAAAATATGCTTCTTTTGGTAAAACTATCTCGCGTTCTATATAACATATTTAAAGGCCTTGTGTTCTGTTGAGCATGAGTCTCATTTAGTGTAAAATCACGTTTTTGAGAATACAATTTAGGAGTTTTTTATTTACTTCAGAATGATTAAGCGCTGAATGATGCAAAGACTCTGTATGAATTAGTTCTGAATGTGACATGTTTGATAATGGCTCTGAATCATTCATAATGTACTTCTGTATTGAATCATTCAACACTATTTTGTTGAATCATTCAACACTATTTTGTTAAATCAGTCAGCACTAAATCATTCAGAGGTGCGAAACAAACACGTTAAATGATTAACGATTCAGCATTCAGCGCTGGATGGTTCTATAAGAGGCAAACAAACAACCCCTTAATGTTTCAATAAATGACCTCGCGCACTACAAAATGTGATGTGCCCGAGATGGAAATTTATCGCATTCGTAAAAAATTGAAATTTGAAATTAGATTCCACGACCCCGCGTCCTACAAAGTGCGAGTTCGTTTTGAATATGAATCTTTTCACCGAACCTTGCGTCTTGTAGAATGTGATGTTCCTTAAATCTTGCTTAGGAGGGGGTGTGATCACTCCTATAAATACGCATTGCTATAATAGTAGAGGTTGGAGACACACACACATTTCATTTTTCTTGTGGGAAGGTGACTATTACCTTTGAAGATGTTGCATTCCATGTTGGAAAGTCTGTTTGACGGAATGCTATTATTGGTATTGTCGATGGGTATCTAGGTCGACTTGCGTGAGGAACTGCTTGAAATTTCTCCGAATGATCACAATTTAGATGGAGGAAGATCAATATTAAATTTTTACCCAATAATTTTACGCGGCTACCCCCAATGCTGCTCCAATAATTAAGTAGGTAATTTTTGAAATTTATGTTTATTTATTTTTATTTTTTATTTATAATATTAAAATTTTATTTTATGTTATTATAAATTTTTTACGATAATTTTTTATTTTGTAGTGATTTGCTTTTGCTCTTATTTTACGAGTTATTGAAGGGATCTTGATGCCAAATAAATTCCGAAAGAAAGTGCATCTGATGTGGTTGTATCATCTACGTGTTTTGTATGACTCTAAATATAAGAGTTGAGGATCGACAATGTTGACATTTCTATTCTGGGAGCTTTGTAAAGCTTTTAATCTGTACAAACAAGTTATTAGATGGTGTCTGAGTTGTTGCAATCGTAGGTTTGGTTATGAATGGCATTTCTACCGTCGATTCCTACACATCCGACCCTATTTCAATTTCCATTACTCCGAAAATAATTAAAAATAAATTATGTTTATATATTTAGATTACTATACGGTTTTTTAAAATTAATTATATTTGTTATATTAAAAATAATTATATATATTTTTAGGTTTTAAAATTGTTGATCGATAAAATGAAAGACGATGTAATAATTATAACTTGCTGATGAGAAAACTTCTTATAGTTGAGTTGAGACTTTCGAATAAATACATTTTTTATGATATGGTGATAAAAAAAATGTTACGGTAACATAAATAAATATAAAAACATTTTTGGACTATTTCGTTAAAACCAAAATGTCTTGTCACTTTAATGACAGTAATTTAATTATATATTGAGAAATATAAATTTTTTAATAATTAATAAGTAAACGAAATAAATCTTAAATTTGAGTAATCAATAGTATAATTTATAGTAAATCTTAAATTTTAGTAATCAATAGCGTAAATAAAAAACAATATCGTAATTCATATTTTAATAATCCTTTTCATATTTGCAGTCAATTAAAGAGTACTTGTTCGAAGGGCTATAAATGAGATGAAATAGATTGCGAGTTATTCGAGATCGATTCGGTTAAGGTTCGATAAATACTTGGATCGAATGGACTCGATTCGAGCTTGACTCGAATTCTTAACGAGTATAAACGAGCTACTTACTACTCAACTCGAAAAGCTCTTGAGCAGTTCGAAAATATAATATATTAATATTTTATTTTTTAAAATAAATATTAATAATATTAACATTTATGTGTTGATTTTTTTAAAAAAATACAGTAAGACTATCATATATTTAAGGTTCAAGTTCAAGTTTGAGGCTTCAATCTAGTTAAGTTTAAGAAAAAAAATTCATTTCGAGCCTTTTCGAGCTGCTCACGAGCTTCAATTCAGGATTTCGAGTTAAAATCGAGTTTAAAAATTTTAAACTCACAAATTTTCGAATTGAGTCAAGTTACATTTCAGAACTTTTGAATCGAATCGAACTCAACGATACTCGAACTCGACTCGATTTGTTTATACCCCATAGTGCAATAATGATCATAGAAAAAGAATTTGTACCGTTGTCATGTGCTTTCGTAACTAACTCTTAATTATTATTTAAAATTTTATTTGGCAAGTCATCTCAAAATTCGTTAAATTATAGTGCTCAAGTGTAATGATTTCCATTGGATAAGGTTGTCCGAATTCCAACCCCCAATAGAAACAGATATTAAATTCTAAACTTGGCTCCAAAACTTTTAGATGTGAACAAGGGGTGAGACCGTCATTTTGATTTTCTCCTCAAACTCCATTTGCCGCAAAACAAAGCTACGGGCATTTGCTCTCTGTAGCGCATGATTGAAAGAGAAAACTTGTAACATCCTTACGTGGCGTTGAATGACTCGTTCCTTTGAGGTCGTCCGGATTGATAACGTTACCAGCCAATAAGCTGGTTTTTATGTTCTCTGTTTCTCTTTTGTTCTCTCTCTCTCTCAACTGTGTTTTTACTTTCCTGATAAGTCGCACATTCCTCATTGATTTCTCTATCTTTCGGTTACGAAAACATCATGTACGAATCCAGCGATGCATAAGCTTCTGATCGATTGCAATTTTGATACTTAATGCTTCCATTTTCAACCGAGTTTGACTCCTGTTTGATTCACTGAGTTGGGCAATCTTTTATAAGAAAAGAAACATGTTGGAGGCAATGGAGAGTTCAGTCAATGGCGACGGTTTCTCGCAGTTACAGAGCTATGGGGACAGTAGCGAAGAAGAGCTATCGGTGTTGCCACGTCATACTAAGGTGGTCGTCACTGGAAATAACCGTACTAAATCGGTGCTCGTTGGTCTTCAAGGCGTTGTCAAGAAGGCTGTTGGACTTGGCGGATGGCATTGGCTGGTAATTATTTGTTATTTATTTTCAGTTTTTCTGGAAATGGGAGGGGGTTTAGTTGTATCTGGGCATTTTTATACTTCAATTCTTTTTTTCTTTATATGTAAATATTTTTTAAAAGATTTAAGATACCTAAAATTGATTTTTTTTGAGGTAATGTGGATTCAATTCGAGGAAATTTTAACTTTAAATGCTTGTTAGGATAAAATAAACCTTTACGCTTCCCTTATTCAATTATTTATATTTGTCTTTTTTTCTTCCTTTTGGTGATTTTTTCTCATAATATTTTTTTTTCATTGTGTTTTTTAAGTTTAATTTTCTCATGGAGATTGCAAGTTTAGTCGTTTCTTGTCTAAATTTACTTCAATTTTGATACTCGCTCTGCTATCTAATTAATTTTCCATACTTATCCAGATTTGGGTTTAGGGATGTGGGTTTCGATTGCATGCAAATGCCTGTTAATGGATCTGTTATTTTTGAATCGTTTTAGCAATTGTACGATGATATTCAGAATTTTCACAATACATTTTGATTTCATTGGGGTGATGATAATTTTTGTGAAAGAGATAAATTATGAAATTATCTAACATTGAGGTTATTGCATGATGGTGCTATTCATGTATTCTTGATTGATTTATCTTAGAATGTTGCTCAATAAGAAACCTTTTTTCTTCTTCTGAATTTTGAATTTCTTGGGGGGGGGGGTTAGCTGCCCTTCCGCTATCAACAACTTGCAATCATTTTCATTCTCAACTTTGCTTCCTTGGTTTTTAAGAAAACCGCACCCCGTTTTCTGTTACATTCATTGGTGGATTACATGAGCTAGATTCCTGGAAATATTCAGACTTTTATCTTCATTTTTGCTATTTTCTCAACTGTAGCTGAGCTAGTGGATTGAAAGACAATTTGACAATTGCAATTTTAACAGATAATTTTGTCATAATCCTGTAGGTTCCTAAGCTATTTTGACTTGGTAGTTTTCCAATGCTATGATTTAATTAATTTGTTAAAATTTTAATAGGATTTCCATGTCCATTTCCCGGCTGTTCTTTTGATTCCAAAAAACACGAAACTTGTCTACATGTTCGTCCACTTATCGGGAGCATAGGCATTAGGCATTTACCTTTTAGCTGATAGTAATATTTGTTTCCCTACTTGATGAAACCGCAGGTTCTTACCAATGGCATAGAAGTAAAACTACAGAGAAATGCCCTCAGCGTGATCGAAGCCCCTACTGGTAATGAAGAAGACGATGACATTGAATTTGAAAACATGCAGTGGAACATATCAGACATGGGTGAGTTTATTTTTTTTTATCTCGTTATTTCAAAAATTGCATCTGCTTCCAAATTTTAGTTTCTCATGTGAGTTCTATATGTTTCAAAATTCAAACCGAGAACAATCTTCAACACCGGTCAGTAATTTGTCTAAATTGTCCTGTTTCCTCCTTTTTTGTTCATATGTGCAAATTTTCACAAGTATAAAAGATATGTTTCTTATACTTTTACCGACTTTTGGTACTATGAATATTGAGCTGCTAGGGTCTTGTGTGAGACCTTTATATCTTGGAAGCTTAATGGGTTTTAATCTGTAAGGTAGAGAGCTTCAATATTTTGATTCCAACAGATTTATCTTTTGATTGGTCCCCCAACACTTATTTAAATATATACTGCTTGTTTCAACTTTTGATTTCCAGCTTCTGATGACACTCAAAAGTCTCACAGATCAAGGCGTAAAATGCATAAGTTGCTCGGGTCTTGTTACAAAACAGGGAGCAGGTCTCTTTCTTGTGACTCACAGTTTAAGGGGTCTGTTTCTGCACCCCGGGGGTCCATGGTAAATGAGTTTAAGAGCTTATATTTTCTTTTTTATTTATTGAACATAATAATGTACTGCCAAATGATGTTAAGCTACTTGAGTATGTATTTACATTATTATGTTTACCCTGTAGAAAGTTGACCTCAGCAAACTAGAGATGGCTGCTTTATGGAGATATTGGCGACACTTCAATCTTGTAAGTTTTTCATGGAGAAAGAAGTAATTAGAATTATCAACCTTGTCTGTAGCACATCTACGGTAAAACAATAAATGGTTTAAATGTCATTGCTTGCTATTGCTATTGCCAGGTAGATTCCATTCCCAATCCATCGAAAGAGCAACTAGTTGATGTGGTTCAGAGACATTTCATGTCACAGGTAACTGCTCTCCCACTTTGATTTTGTTTATTATTTCATTTTACCTGATTGTATTGTCTTATTGAGCTGTGAAATTAACAATATCCCTCGTAGAAAACGTTTTCTTGAACGCTTGCCAAGTTTCCATTAAGACAATTGTGTTTTAGTTTTTTTTTACACTTGGTGTTTGAATATTAAGGATGAGACGATTTGTGATTATAATATAAAAATCATCATCTGTTGGTGCAGAAAATAGATGAACTGCAGGTAATTGTGGGATTCATTCAGGCAGCTAAGAGATTGAAGACTGTTTGTAAATGAACCGAGGAAGACAGCCCCTAACAGATACTAGGGTATCCTAATGTCATCTTCCCGTGAATGTGATATATATATATATATATATATATATATATTTGTGATGTGTGGTATCTCTGTTAATTAGGCTTAGTAATTTTACTATGTTATAGAGGTTGTTCCATTTTGGTAGACTAGTTTATGTAGATATAAAATCCAAAACATCGTTACAATGCAAGACCTCTTTAAGATCTCATTGTGGGTTTCCTTTCTAAAATTAAACACCCAGGTTGTATTTTATAGCCCAGGATCAAAATTAAATAATAACGTGGGAATTTTATTTAAAAAATATTTTATGTGTTGATGATAAGTGTCGACACAAACACGAATCAGACAATAATAGCATACATGTAGGAACTTTAAGACAAGTGTCCAGCCCTTTTGCTGAAGTTCGAGCTATTGCTCGCTTTTGTTCCAAAGCATGCATTGTTGATTTCTTGAAGATTCCTCGAGAGACAAATGATACATGCACCATAAGGTATATATCAAAGGAAGATGGCCATTCTCTTTTAATTGATTCACACAAGCAAGCCTTGGAAAAGAGGACCAAAATAACAAAAAGAGGACCAAAATAACAATAGATTTGCAACGACTTTTTGAATAGGATTTAGGTGTTATTTGGTTAACATATCTTTTGGAGATGCAATCGACTGTCTCTTAGCTTTTCAACGGTACTTGAAACGTATCAATTCGATGTCGAGTACTCAAAATACGTTCATTTTAGTGAAAACAAAACATGCAGAAATTCTTATGCGTGATTAATACGAGATTTTATAAATATTATAAATTATCAATTTTTTTATTGATTATTTGTAATGTAATTTAAGGTACATTATAAGAATAATCCCTTTTGTTTTTGGTCTGAACGCATTTGGTCACCAATTTAAAAATTAAAGGTTCATGGTCTCTAACATTATCGGCCCGTTCGATTTTATTCCTTAAAGTTATCGGTTCATTCGATTTTAATCCTTCGACCTTTAATTTTTTAACGAAAGTATTATGTGACAATTAAAAATAAAAAAGAAATCCACATAAGTCACTAACTGTAAGTGACGTGGAAAGGTAAACAAGAGAGGAAATTTGATCATTGTTTCTTAATAAGCGAAGAAGCCATGTCAGAAACTAATTGTAAAGATTCAAGGACCACTGTCATGGTTAAGAACATACCCAATAGGTTTGCCATTTTCACCAACTCTTAACATGATTGCACTTGTTTTGATATATTTAATGGGTTTGAGTTTTTGGCATTTTTGCGGTGAAAATTTATTGTTGAACATGCTCGACATTCATTGTATTCACTACAACGAGCAAATTATTAACACCGATGATGATTAACCTTTACCTTCTTCCCACCTCCTCATTGATTTTAAGTAATATTATTTCATTTCCTTTTCTTTTTCGTTGAATTTGCTTATTGATGGAATTGAAAAATTCCAGCATTAAGTGTAATGTGAGATATTGATTTATGAATATGACTTTCCCGCAAACAACTTGGAGACTTTACAAGGCCTTCCATAATCAACACTGGAAAGTGTTCAACTCTAGAAAAATCTGCGAAAAGCTTGGAGTTTGTGGGCATATGAATTTACAAAGACTAAATAATGGGCTGGATTAGAAAGAGAAAAAGAAGTGGATTACAAAATATTGTTCAATAGATTTGGGAGCAAACTTGTCTCATGTGCAAATCGTCGAAGGAAGTGGGTTACGGGGAAGAGGAGGAGGAAGAAGAAGGAGAAAAACAAGCGATTTAAAAAAAAAAATTGCCACATAATACTTTTGTTAAAGGGTTAACGAGACTTAACGGTTGAGGACTAAAATCGAACGAATTAATAATGTTATGGACCGTTTATTCTTAATTTTAAATTGGTGACCCAAGTCGGTCATACCGAAAACAAATGAGACTATTCTCATAGTTTACCCTATAATTTAACATAGGATGATGTATTATCTTTTAGGATTAGATTATTATTTTATTAGGAATTAAGATAAGATAAAGTTAAAATATTATTTTTAGTTTATTATTATTTTATTAGGAATTAGGATAGAATCAAAAGATTATCTTTAGTTGATTTTTATTTTATTCGGTAGTTACTTAAATTCATGAAACTCCTTACCCTATACAAAGGAGTCTCCATTCACCATTGTAAAACATAATTCTTTGATTAATAATAAAACAAGATTTCGTTTTTGCAAGAGTTTATTGTCTTGTGCCTTTGAAGTATTCTTCATTACTAAGTTCTTCATAAGAGAGATCTCCACATCCCAGTTTGCATTCTCATTGCGATTAGGAGGGTTGGTTAGAGCCGATTATCGGGTTTACCTAATCAAATGTGATTAGGAGAGTTCGTAAGACAATTATATATCAATCATCATCATCGTCATCATCATCAAATTACCATTCTTGCCCATCATCATTAAAACTTTAATTTTGGCTAAGTTATCCTATCTTTAGGAGGTTGTATTATATAGCCCATGATCAAAATTAAATAATAAAAACGTGAGAATTTTATTTAAAAACATTTAATATGTGTTGAAGATAAGTGTCGACACAAACATGAATCAAACATTAATAACATACATGTCTGAACTTTAAAACAAGCATCAGGCCCTTTTACTGTAATTCGAGCTATTTCTCGCTTTTGTTCCAGAGCATGGATTGTTGTTTTCTTGAAGATTCCTTTTGAGACAAATGATACATTCATCACAAGGCATATTGTTGAGTTAATCGATTGACAGATTTGGCCAAGAGGGGGTGAATTGGCAATTAAAAATTTGGTGGAAGCTTTTACAGAAAATTGAAAGTAATTGCACAGCGATTTAGAGTGGTTCGACTTTCTCAATCAAGTCTACGTCCACTACCTTAGCTATCCACACTAAGGATTTTCCAACAAATTCACTAATTTGTTCTTTCTTTTGAGGCCAAAGAGATAACCTTACAACACCCTCAAGAATATACCCCAATTCTTGAGAATACTCTTTCCCAAAGAGAAGATTACAAATTTGCAAACTTACAAGGAAAACCTCACAAGGTAAGATGTTTGCACAATTCTAGAACAAGAAAAGAACACTCAAAGATAATTACAAATGAGCACAAATGGTGTTCTTGAAAGCAAAATGAATATTGAAAGGAAAATTGGCTTGATTTGCACAAACTTGGTGTTTGATGCTTTCTCTCTTGTTTCTCTATGATTTCTTGTTGATCAAGGGCTTCAGAACTTGTTTAAATACACCTTGAATCACTTATGAACGTTGGGAATGATTTGTGAAGATCATATAGCCGTTTTAGTGTGAAAACAATTAATAAAACAGCTTAGAGCGTAGGGGGAATCGGTTCCCCCTCATAGGGAATCGGTTCCCTAAGTGTAAAATTCAAATATTTTGACCGTTGAACAGGGGGGAATCGGTACCCCCTATGGGGGAATCGGTTCCCTCCGAGCATTCTGGAAATCTCGGAGCCAAACCATTCAGGGGGAATCGGTTCCCTCTGAGCAATCTGGAATTTTTGACTTTGAAATGGTTCGAAATACTTTGAAAGATTATTTTGAAATTGTTTTAAGATTAAAACTTAATTTTACACTTAAGTAAGGATTAAAAATGATTTTTGAAATATTTGGAGTAATGTTTTGATATTCGAATAATTATATCGAATATACTTAGAAAATCATTTGGAAAATCTTAAAATTCATTTAACTTAATTTGTTATATCGAAATATCAAAATGTTTTCAACAATCTCCCCCTTTTTGATATAACAAAATATTTTAGTAATTTTAAGATTTTGAAATCAAGTTTTGAAATTACTCCCCCTTACTTTAACACTTCTCCCATTTATCATTTTAAAAACACATACTTCTCCCCCTTTTTGTTAAATCAAAAAGATTCAAAGAAACGTGAAAATCATTTAGCCAATTGATTAGGTATATGTATGCATAAGTTGCTAAGATCACAATCAAGAGAAACGTTAGCCATTAGTTCCATAATCAATATTCATAAACAATGTGATATGGAAAAAATGGTCATATTGTTAATAATGATGTAAATGATGCAATAATGAATGAATCACACCAAACATATAAGTTCACACCATCCATAAATCCAAACAAATTCACAATCCACAAATTCAAATATTCCAAAATATTCAAAATGTTAAAACAATAAGTTTGGATTTCAAAGTAAAACATTTCATCACATATCCGGATCAGGAGGAGGAAAACGAGCTCGCATAGCGGCCATTTCGTTAGTGTGGTCATTAATACGTGCGTTGGTTGCTTCATTATTTGCACGCATTTCCCGAAGAATTTCTAATTGTTGAGCTCCCATTGTGGATAAATGGGACTCTATAGAAGTAAAGCGCGAATCCATAGTCGCATATCGGAAATCAAATGTCTCCATAAAAGATTGAAAATATGGAGGTATTTGAGTCGATTGTTGTGCGTGCTCCTCGGGTTGCTCAGGCTCATCTTCGGCTTCATCGATATCCCTCATTAATTGTTCAAACTCTGGATCTTCGTCAGCTTCGAGTGGAGCTTGTGAAGAACTAGCTCCCGGAGTAGTTGCAGAAGATCTAACCCATTCACCGGTTTCTTTATTTTTGACCCATCCCACTCTTGTTAAAGAAAGAAGATTGATTTGTTTCTTAAGAGGAAAGGAGGCATCTAGACCAACTCGAAGCTCGGCTTTAGAAAAGAGATTACTAAGGATACAACCGTAAACTAGTAAAGAACAAAGTTTCTTATTTGGCACTAGGTTAACGGTTTCAACAATCTCAGCAAAGATAATCTCGGAAAGGTTTATTTTTATATTGTGTTCAAAACAATACAACCACCAAAGATCTAAAGCTCTGAGAGTAGAATAACGACCCCCGGATGGTCGAAACCACCAAGTGATCATGAGATGAAGAAAACACTCATGAAGATCTAAAACACTTGCACTATCATTTCGTTTATATTGTGAGCCTAAAACTTGTTTTTCATTTGATAAACCTTCATTATCCAAGCCTAAGGCATTGACTATGTAAGCCGGATCAAGATGGAAATATTGACCTAGGAGGTAGGAACGTACTCCTATGGTTTTGTTTTTGTCATGATTTTTGATACAAACGGCATTACAATAGAAGATACGAACAAGTTGATGATAGACAACGGGTTCAAGTTCGAAAAGTTTATCAAATTTCCATTCGTGCAAGATAGGGAGATATT